ACATACACACACACACAACCACCTACACACACACACATGGACAACTGTACCCTCAAACACACAATAATAACATGGACTGAACCACCACTCACAACCACCAGCACTTTATAGCCTCTGTAGAAATTATCCACATATCTCACTGATCTTAACTGCACTACTGTATAGCTCTGTGTAAATAATCATTCTGTACATACGATAATTTTTAATCCTACAACTGTTTATAACTTAGCATAGTTCACATTTCTGTATAACTGTATATCTCAGATTTCTGTATAGTTTTTCATATTTATATCCTGTTCATAGCCTGTACATACTTATAGTTATAGCATATTCATAACATACTTCATACCGTGTACATTATAACATACCATAATAGACCCATTTCTGTAATATACTCACACATCTATATTATTGCTAATATATATTGTAATATATCTATATCACTAAAGCACTTGTGGATAGATGCAAACTGCATTTTGTTGCCCTGTACCTGTGCATGTGCTATGACAATAAAGTTGAATTCTATTCTATTCTATTCTATTCTATTCTATTCTGTCCTTTAACCTACTGCAGATGCAATCATTTGAATGGCGAGTGGAGGAGCCAATCAAAAGACTCAGAGGGCATGACGCTACAGGAGAACATTACTATGGTGGCAGAGAGAGGCGTCTCCCAGGTAACCACTGACATCAAACGAGTGATGTCATCAGAAGGGAGGGGAAACAGTAACATATGAAGTTGACCGGTGGCTCTGTGTGTGTTTGTTCCACCAGGTAAACAGCATGCTGACCCTCCAGACTCTCAGCTCTCTGTCGGCCGTTCGCTGTGAAGCCACAAACTCGGTGGGCAGACAAGCGAAGGACCTGCGAGTCCTCTCCAGCTGTACGTATCCATGCTGCTGGCGTTTGAGCTCAGGCGGGTTCTCTGAGGAACTGAGGCAGAACATTCATTCAAACACTGTCTTCAGATGTCTGCTTTAAAACATCGTCCACATCCTGAGCACACAAACAGCTGCTGACAGAGGAGAAAGAGCTCCTCAGAGCTCCTGTCCATCACAGAGGTCACAGGAGTGGCTGAATGCATGAAGGAAGAGCTGAAAAGAGAAATGTGAGTAGAGAAGTGGAGACAAGCTCATGCTGTGACTCAGACTAACACACCATAACTCATCTGGTCAGCATGTGAACATCGGGATCTCCTGCCAGATGTTCAGTACTTTGAATAAAGGTGCTGCAGACACATGGAGGAGATGATCAGAAGCTGAAGTTTCACTGAGTTTGGTACAAAGACCCAAACATCTCAGGAGGAGCTCAGAGAGACAAAGAAGAAATTATTTCTAAAGAAAAGAAGAAGAATTGAGGCCTCAACAAAGAGAGCAGCACTGGTTAGGAAAACCCTCAGAGGACGATGATCAGTGCTGGATGTGACAGAGTCAAACCTTCTGCTAAAAAGAGGAACCTGAAATATTAAAGAGCCAGGAGAACCTGTCACTGTCTGAGCTGGCAGACCATGGCGGGGTTAGAGGGTGGACACAAATGCAGACACATGGAGTGGAGGTGAATGTTTAACAAAAAGCAAGCCGTAATTGTTGGCGGGAAAAAATCTAAAAATAAAAAACAGAGGCAAACGGGGAACTGACAAATACAAAGAAAAGCCTGAAACTTGGAAATGCAGGTGGAGATACAAAGGGGACGACGAACAGACGATCTGACTGGTAGCAACGGAGAATACACACATGAGGAAACAGGGAACAGGAGGGGAACACAGCTTTAACTAATCGGACAAGATGAGACATGGAGAAAGCAAAACAGAAACCGGCACCCGACACAGACTGTCAAAGTAAACAGGAGACACATGAACGTAGAAACAGGGATGACAAGAGGGAACAAAAGTGAGGCACAGGAACATCTAAGCACTAGAAATCATTAATAACCAGAAACAATATCAATAATCGCAAACATAAACACGGAGTCACTAGACTCCGCATCATGACAGAACCGGCATCCTCCCCTCACCCCACCGGTCCTTGAGCCTTGTTCTGCTGGAGATTTCTGTCTCTTCTTTAGCTTCTTTACCTTACAATATAAAACGCTTTGAGGCAGTTGTTGTGATTTGGCGCTATATAAATAAAATTGCTTTCAATAAGAGAAGCTCTATTTAGGATAAACCCACAAGAAAAGATGATCAGTACTGGGTGAGAGGGATAAAGTCAATCCTTCTGCTAAAAAAAGTTAATATTAAAACAAAATAATAATTAATCCTACAGTTTTTGGCAGGTTTTGTTTGTTTTTTTGTTGTTTAGGGTAAATTATTGTGTTTATTTCTAACATTTCTTATGTTATCTGTGTTCAGCTCTTCTGTCTCAGGTGGTGGTCTTAGCAGTAGTCCTGGTGTTGGTCATCATTGCTGTCATCTTCCTCATCATCCTCATCATCTTATGGAGGAAAGTTAGTATTCAGATGAAATAAACTTCTAGCTGAACAGTAGTACTACCTCCATTACTGTTGCATGGACCGTCAAATATTTGCTGCATGTTCATGTAACTTCATGAATCCACCAAAGTATTTGGTTCCTTTTTATTTCTGTGTGTAGAAACCTCATTATGAAGTTCGTTGGAAGGTGATCGAGTCTGTGAGTCCTGATGGACAGCAGTACACCTACCTCGACCCCGCCCAGCTGCCCTACAGCCCAACCTGGGAAATAGACAGAGACCATGTAGTTCTTGGTAAGACTGCAAAACCATATTTTATGTAACAATGAGATTAATTCATAAACGTCTCTCCCTCATTGTGCCTTACACGGCACGGGTCTTTGTGTCCTGGGTTTTGTCTTTGGCTCCAAACAGGTATAAACCTGTTTTTGCCTTCAAACACTTCTGGATTTTTCACATAATTTTCTGTGTGATTATTGATCTGCACTATGGAGCTCTGTCTCAGCAATTTGACTCTCAGTGACCCTCATCCTACCTCCACCAGGTGTGAAGATTGATGATGGTGCAGCTGAGGATTCTGGGCCATT